GTGTGTGTGTGTGTGTGTGTGTGTGTGAGAGAGAGAGAGAGAGAGAGAGAGAGAGAGAGAGAGAGAGAGAGAGAGAGAGAGAGAGAGAGAGACTAAGACATGAAAAGGCACTCATAACAGCAGCCCTTCGAAGTGGGCAGGGAAGGGAACGAGGCAAATCCAGACAGACTGAACGGTAATCTCTTGTGATAATGAGGGGCCAATGATGGTCTTGTTAGCGGCATGTCATCCCTTGTGGATTCTGTTGGGCAAAATCCTAATGGATGCCTAAATGATGTGTGGACTGTGATGAGAAATCTGGGAGAATTGTACAAAAATTCAGGAGCAGCTCATTGCATTTTCAGATTTCAAGTTGAGATACCTATTAATGTGGATTATTGCTTGTTAACAGCCTTATTAACAAAGGTCACATGACAATGTAGCTTCTTATTCTCCCACACATCCAGAGATAACAGCATCAGCAATTCCTTACATCAAAGTCAGAGCAGGTACCTGGCAACTTCAGCTCCCCGCATGCTCCTCTGCGCTGCCATCTTGAATATCTAGCAACATCTCATGGCACAGCTGCACACATCCCTCAGCCATAGACACTGGCAATTAACACCTTCTGTGAACCCTCATAGTACCTCTCTGATCCACTTCTGCACTTTAACGCTGTGCTTCAGGGTGCCCCAGCAAACAGCATTGAAAGAATTCGTGTACAAGGTCAGGAACTGGGGCAAGGAAACAAAGTTCAATGTGCCAGGAAATGTCAGTCATGCCAGCTAAGTACCATGACCAGTGATTACTTGGGATGCTATGCCACTGTGTTGCTGGTAAAGGGCAATGCTGGAATGCTAATGCTTGGCCAGAGGCTTGGTCAGGCTTTAAAGATGGTGATGGCACAAAGGAGGCCAGCCTATTCTGGGATATCCAGCGAGTGGCAAATTCCTCCAGCTGTGGCTATTGGTCAGATCAGGCTAGCACTGGATGATACAGAGATCATGGGAACGGGTATAGGTCATTAATAAGCGAGTCTGGGATGATACACTGGAAAAATCTCATTAGGCCTCACAGACAGAATCGCTCCACGCATCGCGACAAAATTGACACGGAGTCAAAATGTTCTAAAATTTAGTCGGTCATATCATTCCCTTTGAAGAATACACAAGGACAGGACTTAAGTCAGTTTGAATTCTGCAGTCTTCTTGTGGGACCAAATGCTCTTGTACACACCAACCTGGGTTCAAGCATTAGCATGATGCGAAAGTCCCAGTCGATACACTATCCTCTAGTTACCTCGGTGTTGCAGCTAAATATGCTTCCTCACTTAGAAGTAGTAAACAAGTCAAAAAAAAAAGGAAATCAGGTCGAAGGAGCTTCCATCAGATTACAAAAACAAGAACCGTGAAAACAGTCTGTTCAACTGCCAAGGTCAAGACTGTCAGCGTAACCCAATAAGGGCCTCTGTGTCTTTTCTGCTCTTCACAAACAATTCAGTGACTGATCAGGTAATTATATAAAACAGGTTATCTTTTTGGATCTGCCTCTTACTTCTCATCTGTGTGACAGTGTTTCTTCCTCTCTCATGTGTAGTAATTAACAGCCAGTTCGTCCCCCCAGAAACTTTCCACCTGGAACTATATACAATTAGGGGAAGCTCTGATGGGATCTGGTTATAACATGATGGAGATTCCACCAAATTGGGGGTGAAAGGTCAAGGAAAAATCATACCGGATGCAAAGGGGAACATATTTCCTTGATCTTTAACTCAGGCACAAATTTGATGTGTTTGTTATGAGAAAATTCAGAGTCAATGCTTTGAAATTTAGAGATAAGCATTGTACATGGGAGAACAGTGGCACTCAAAGAATCTGAATTTCAGTGTGCAAAAACTCAAGTATTTTTAAATAGTTCTGTCTATCCGTGGCTTGCCGTAAAGACAAGGAGTTAAACGTAGAACTCTTGCAGCTCCAAAGACTTCACTAGTCCCTTCTTAGGGGACTTCCAACTAAACTGACAGAACTGCTACAAATTAAGGTGAAAGTTCTCACACATTGTGATAAGAAGCATGGTAAGAACCATGAACTTTCTTATGGTAATCCCAATGAAATGAAATCACGACAAATCCATGTTCATTTTGAATGGATAAAAATACAAAGGGAAGGGTTTAAAATCGGTGTAGTGGACAGGAAAGGTTACCTCCGAGTACAACGGGACCTTGATCAGATGGGCCGAGGAGTGGCAGATCGAGTTTAATTTAGATAAATGGGAGGTACTGCATTTTGGAAAGGCAAATCAGGGTTTGGACATATACATTTAATGGGAAGATCCCAGGGAGTGTTGCTGAACAAAGAGACCTTGAAGTGTTGTTCATCGTTCCTTGGAAGTGGAGTCACAGGTAGATAGAATAGTGAAGGCAATGTTTGGTATGTTTACCTTTCTTGGTCAGAGTACTGAATATAGGAGTTGGGAGGTCATGTTGCAGCTGTACAGGACATTGGTTAGGCCACTTTTGGAATACCGTATTCAATCCCGGTTTCCCTGCTGTAGGAAAGATGTTGTGAAACTTGAAAGGGTTCAGAAAAGATTCACAAGGATGTTGGCCTGGGTTGGAGAGTTTGAGCTATAGGGAGAAGCTGAATAGGCTCTAGTGGTATTATGGTATTATGTTATGTTATATCCTGAGTGGAAATGGTCTAGTGGTATTATCACTAGACTGTTTATCCAGAGACTCAGATAATGTTCTGGGGACTGGGGTTCGAATCCTGCCACGGCAGATGGTGGAATTTGAGTTCAATAAGTATCTGGAATTAAGAATCTAGTGATAACCGTGAATTCATTGTTGATTGTTGTAAAAACCCATCTGGTTCACTAATGCCCTTTAGGGAAAGAAACTGCCAGCCTTACCTGGTCTGGCCTATATGTGACTCCAGACTCTCAGCAATGTGGTTGACTCTTAACTGCCCTCTGGGCAATAAAGGCTGCCTAGCCCGTGATGCCCTCATCCCATGAATGAATAAAGAAAAAGGCTGGGGTTATTTTCCCTGGAGCGTCGGAGGCTGAGGGGCGTATAGAAGTTTATCAAAAGATGAGAGGCATAGATAGGGTGAGTAGCCAAGGTTTTTTTCCTGGGATAGGGGAGCCCAAAACTACAGTGCATAGGTTTAAGGTGAGAGGGGAAAGATTTAAAAAACAGGCCTAAGGGGTAACCCTTTCATGCAGAGGGTGGTGCATGTATGGACGGAGTTGCCAGAGGAGACTGGTACAATAACATTTAACAGACATCTGGATGGGTAGATGAACAGGAAGGGTTTAAGAGGGATATGGGCCAAATGTTGGCAAATGAGACTAGATTAATTTAGGATATCTGGTCAGCATGGATGAGTTGGATTGAAGGGTCTGTTTCAATGCTGTACAGCTCTATGATTCAAAGTCACTAACAAAATTTCAAATTAAAAGGATTTTTCTCTGAACATTCTAAAAGTGCTAATTCTTGTTGAAAGTCATTTTTTAGCTTCTCTCCTATTTCCCTTCTTGTCGTCTCCAAGATCCTCTTGTCCACGAAGACTATCACCTCGTTTGACCCTATTCCCACCAACCTGCTGACCAGCCAACTTCCCCTTCTGGACCCCATCTTAACCAATATTGTGAACAGTTCTCTCCTTTAGATGTTGTCCCATTCCTTTAAATCTTGCTGACATTACCTATATCCTCAAAAAAATACAACCATCAACTCATCCGAACTTCTGAACTACTGTCCTATCCCAAACGTCCTTTCTTTTCTAAAGTACTGGAACATGTCACCTCAGAATATATTTCCATGTTATCCAGAACCTCATGTTTGAGCCACTCCAATCAGGTTTCCACCCTCACCCGAGGACTGAAACGACTCTTAGCAAAACTTAATTATCTTCTAAATTACATCCGATAAGACTATGACAACATTAAACTTCACCTTCCCATGAATTTGTCCGCAGCTTCTGTCATTGTTGATGATATGCTCCTCTATTGTCATCGGGCTGGGTAGGACTGCCCTCATGTTTCTCTTCTTATCAATCTAATTGTCACCAGAGAATCACTTGCATTGGCTTCCCTTCCTGCTCCTGCACCTTCCCTCTCGTGTCCCTCAAAGACGTGATTATTGTTCCACTCCTATTTCACACTGACATGCTGTGCCTTAATACCATCCGAAAGGCACAGCATTAATTTGCCGATGTATGCTGATGCCACCCAACTCTACCTCTCCATCTCTTCTCTTGATTCATTCCATGTTACTGATTTATCAGACTGCATGTTCAATGTACACAATTGGATCAGCAGACAAACCTTTCCTCAAATTAATACTGGGAAATCTGAAGCAATTATTTTTGGTCTTTTTGTCCCCACTCCAAACTCTGTTCCCAAGTTGCTGACTCCATTCCTCTCCCTGGCAACAGTCTGGAGATAAAATGTGTTTATTTGCAAACTTAGTTACACATTTGATCCCAAGATGAGCTTCCAATCTCATGTGTA